GCACCTGAAGTCCCAGCACTCAGGAAGCTAAGTCAGGGGAATCACTTGAGCCCTGGAGACAGAGGCTACAGTGAGCTAAGACTGTGCCACTGCACTCCAGCCTGGGCAACAGAGCGAGACTCCATCTCAAAAAAATAAACAGGCCCACACCTGTAATCCCAGCACTTTGGGAGGCTAAAGTGAGTGGATTATCTGAGGTCAGGAGTTCAAGACCAGCCTGGCCAACATGGCAAAACCCCATCACTACTAAAAAATACAAAAATTAGCTGGGAAGGCTGGGCACAGTGGCTCACACCTGTAATCCCAGCACAGGTGGGATTTTGGGAGGCCAAGGCAGGTGGATCACTTGAGATCTGGAGTTTGAGACCAACCTGGCCAACATGGTAAAACCCAGTCTCTACTAAAAATACAAAAATTAGCTGGGTGTGGTGGTGCACGCCTATGGTCCCAGCAACTCAGGAGGCTGAGGCAGGAGAATCACCTGAATCCAGAAGGTGGAGGCTGCAGTGAGCCGAGATTGTCCCACTGCACTTCAGTCTGGGTGAGAGAGTGAAACACTGTCTCCAAAAAAAAAAAAAAAAAACACAAAGGCCAGGTGCAGTAGTTCATGCCTATAATCCCAGTACTTTAGGAAGCCAAAGCAGGTGGATCACCTGATGTCAGGAGTTGAAGACCAGCTGACCAACATGGAGAAACCCCACCTCCACTAAAAATACAAAATTAGCCGGGCATAGAGGTGCATCCCTGTAATCCCAGCTAACTGGGGAGGCTAAGGCAAGAGAATAGCTTGAACCTGGGAGGCAGAGGTTATGGTGAGCTGAGATTGAGCCACTGTACTCCAGCCTAAGCAACAGAGCAAGAATCTGTCTCAAAAAAATAAATAAATAAATAATAGCCATGTGTAGTGGTGGACACCTGCAATCCCAGCTACTTGGGAGGCTGAGGTGGGAGAACCATCTGAACCCAGGAGGTGGAGGTTGCAATGAGCTGAGATCGGGCCACTGCACTCCAACCCGGACTACAAAGTGAGACCTTGTTTCAAAACAATAAATAAAATAAATTTCTTTTACAGCCAGGGGTCTCACTGTGTTACCCAGACTAAAGCGATCCTCCCACCTCATCCTCTGGAGTAGCCGGGACCCCAGGTGGACGTGCCAGGCTAGGAAGGGGCTTTTTAACATTTATATCCCTCCCCTACCACTTTTGGCTTTCTACCTACAATGAAAAATGGTAGGGACAGCAAAGTGGTCCCACCCAGGTTAGGACCCATTGCTCTGTTCCCCTCCACAGACCATGCCCTTCACAGCACAGTATGCCTGACCCACATGAGCTCCCAGTCACAAAAGGCCCCGGCAAGAGCCAGAGGCCAGCACATGCAATGTCCTAACTGGAAACCCAATGACCAGCAGCATGGCCTGCACTGCATGTACTGGCAAGGAGTGACAGGAAGGCAAGCCCTCGGATCCCATCTCACCAAAACAAGTGGGAGGGGCCGGTAAGAGGGCTCAGATGGCCCCCTATACCAAAGCTTTCCTAACACGGGGCCTCAACTCAACGCCGCTTCCCAGAAGACTTACTCGACTACCTCAGCAAACCAAGAACTTTATCTTTCCCTATGGTGGATTCCCACCATACTTCCAGAATTCTGCACAATCCACTAACCCACTTCATCCTACATTTGGACTTTCTGGTTTCTTCCTGGTGAGAGAAACTATTCTCTGCCAAGTGGTTAGCACCCTGAGAGCAGGATGGTGGATTTTCATTTTTCCTAATCCTTCCTGCCACAAGCTCCCGTCTGGGTCTGTCTCAGTCAAGTATCGGCTGACTTCTGGCATGTCCCCTCACCGTGCACGGGGGCCAAGACGCCCTGTATCCCTGCAGATCACAGGCTAACAGACGGTGCTATGTCTCACTCTTCCCAGCACCATAACCAGAACATTATGAGAACTCAGGGCACATTAACTGAACATTAATTAAATGAGAAAAAGACTCCCAAGTCCCGATTAACGAGCCACTTAAGGAATACAGAATGCAGCATCGATTCCAACCTGATTCCTGCAGGTGACAGAAACCAACAGGCATCAGCATTTATGACATCCTACTACCTGCCAGCCTGCTCCAAGTCATCTGCACAGGCCGACAATAAGCTTCACCCAAAAATTAAAAAAAAAAAAGGTATTATGCTTAATAGCAAATACTTTGCCACCTTCTCCCTAGGTGGGCTGTCTCCCCACACCCTTTCCTAGAATAGCGTTGTGCAGAACTTACAGTTAATAAAAGCTTTCTAAAACGTTAAAGCTGTTTCATAATTTTTAATTATGAATAATAAAATTTACACAAGCACACATAACATTTTCTTAGTTTTTTTTTTTCCTTTTCTGTTTAAAATTGCATTTTTTTCTATTTCCATTCACTTCTTTGAGACCCAAAGCCTGCTGCGGTGGTGCCAGCCTCATGGCACCTATCCCCTGTACCTCTCTGAGGCTTCTGGGCCTCCCTCCCTCTGGCTTCATCCCTCCTGCTCAAAGCAAGTCTAAGCGTCATCTCCACAATCAGGCCTCGACTGCCTCTCTCTGGTAGCCTTCCAAATCCTCGGGCCTCACCTCCTTCTTTCTCCCTCTTCCCGGTTTAACTGTATCTGATGTCAGCTTTTATGACTCTTCCACCCAAAAAGAACACCAAGTGATTTTTCTTCCTCCACGAACACTTGCAAAGCAGCAGCAAGGGGTCCTGATTCTGTGGAGTGGACCCTGAGGGTGTGGGCCATGAGACGTCACCTCTGCCAAGTTAACAGTTCTTTAAACTGACCACTGCAAGGAAATTCAGCTATTGCATAATCCTTGATAGGTTAGATCACTTGCTATATGAAGATGAGAAAATAGAGTTGGGCAAATTTAACGCAATTTCCTTTGTCTGCCTGAGCTAGCGCAGACTTGCAAGGCCGCAGCGGCAGTTTTCTCTTTCTTGAAGCACAGCTTTAACATCATAAAGAAGGATTTTAAGGGAGTGATCAATCGTTCTCATCTGTCCTGACAATATCACTAGCATATGTATTCTGACAGTACCCCAGAACGGTCCTTCTTGAGTTGCACAGTGAAAAATTAAAGAGATTCTTGCAGGAGTATTGAGAGAATCAGAATCCGCAACGCAGGCTCAGATGTCTCAGTTAAATGAAGGACTTTCTTCAAGGCACAAACAAGAGTAGGAATATTTTGATGGTATTAACAGAAACAACGGGCCACTGTTACTGCCTGTCTCCAGTTAAATGTCTGTATAGCCTTCTCTGAGTGAAGCCATCTTATTAATTCCAAAAGAAAGGACAGCATCCAAGGAAAATAACTGGTCTTCTTCCCCCTCGCAGAGAAATTCACATGAATGTCTCCAAAATAATTTTTTAAAAAAGCTGGAATTCTCCCTGGCCAGCTCTCTCTCCTTTCCGGGCTGCTTCTGCAGTGACAGCTGGAACAGATGGCGTCTGGGCGAGAACACCTTACATCTTAACCCTTATCCTTGATAAGGTCTGATTTTCACTAGCGACACTGGAATCCAAGGTCTGGCAGGGTTTCCGTCATGAGCACCCACTCACAGGACTGCCAGTCCCATAAGATATTCTCCAGTTTGCACACCGGTAAGGCTTATCTTGTTCTGGCCAAAGAATTTTCATCTTTAGACTAATTCTTAACATTTACATCGTCACACCGCGGTGAAAAGGTAAACATTTTCTCTCATTTGAGAAAGGATGCTGTACACTACTCTGTCAGACATCCTACATAGGATGCAGTCTTTTCACAGGCCATTTTCAAAGACGTGAGAGACATGAGAAGCTCTTAGGACGAACTGATGGTCCACCTGGCCATTCCCTACAGTAAGAATTCTATAGACACATACAGGGTAACAGCAAACAACATTTCCAAACGCTCCGGCAGTGTGTAGTCGCAGCAAATGCTAGAAAAAATAAATAAATAATGGCTCCTCTTCAGTTGTATGCTGTGAATGTAAATTAAGCCGCTACAACGCTCGACATTAACCTTTCTGACGCCACAAAAATGAATGAATTATATCCATACACACACACACACACACACACACACACACACACACACGCCACGCATCACGCAGCACAGCTCATTCTGAAAACCGATTCCAAGCTTAATTCGAAAAATGTGAAATACAACTGGTCCCGTCCACGGCTGGTAATCTGAAGGCTTCTTGGATTTCCAAGCACGTCCACACCACCTCACCCGTTTCCAGTTTCTCACTGTTTCAAATCCAAGGGAGAGAATTTTCCACTCAGAATTCTCTCCTCGGGTCCAAATACCAGACCGACGTCCCCACACCGGGCTGGCGGCGTGGAACCCGCGAGCCCGCCCAGAGCCGCCCGGCGCCCGCGGGGAAGACGCAGAGCCGGCGGCCCGGAGCCGCCCGGTGCCCCGGGAGTCGCCGGCCCTCCGCGGCCGCAGGAGAGGGGTTCGCGCGCTCGGCCCACGCCCGGACCCCCGCGCCGCCCGCCAAGCGGTCGGAGGCGCCTCTGCGGCGGCATGACTCAGGACCAACTTTCCAATAACGCCCGGCCCCCCCGAGACGGCCCCGGCCGCGCGCTTGGCCACGCAGTCCCCGAGCCGCCTGCCCCTCCGCGCGAAACCCGCGGCTCCGCGGGGCGCCGGGTCCTGAACGCCAGCCGGGGTCACGACCGTGGCGAGGCCTGCGCGCCCCGTTTCCTGAAAAGCTGCGGGCGCCCCGGTCCCCTCCGGCCCCAAGCCCGGCCTCCGGGACAAAGTTTGTCGAAGTTGAGGCGTCCGGGGGCGGGAGGCAGCCGGGCTGTGGCGCGGGGCCGGGCTGAAGCCGCGCCCCGCACTCGCCGCCGGGACGGGCCGGGCCTGCGCCGCGCCCGGCAGCCCCGAGGCCCCCGGGCCCCGCCGCCGAGGGCGCGGGATGGAGGCGCGGAGGATGGAGGCGCCCGGCCGCGCGCCGAGGCCCGCCCGCCCGCCGCGGACCCTTACCTCGCGGTCCGCTGCCGCTCGGCCGGCTCAGGGGCGCCGGGCGCGTCCTCCGCCGCGGTCCGCAGCGTCCAGCTCCCCGGGTTGCCCCATGGCGGGGGGCGGGGAAGAGCCGGCGGCGGCCGCGGCTGCCGCCGGCTGGAAAGTCCCGGCTGGGCTGCAACCCCGGCTCGCGCACGCGGCGGCCGCGCCGCGCTCCCTCGCTCCCTCGCTCCCTCGCGCCCTCACGCAGCCCCGCGCAGGCACTTCCTCTCGCGCGCTGGAAATCCCCGGCGCGCCCGCCGCCCCGCCCCCGCCGCCCGCGCGCGTGGGAGCGGCAGGAGCCCGCGAGCGCCGCCAGCCCCACGCGGCCGCCGGCCCCCGCGCGCGCCCGCGGCCCGTTGCTAAGGCCCCTCGCGCCCGGCGCCCGCCCGCCCGACCTTAGCAACGGCGGCGCCGCGGAGCGGAGCGGGGCGGGGACGGCTTCGGGCGCCCCCCGCCTCCCTCCCGACTCTGCCGAGCGCCCCGCGGGCTTCCTCGCTCCGCGCCGCCCCCGCCGCGCCCCCGCGGCCGCGCGTCCCCGCGTCCCCGCCTCTCTGGGTCAAAAAGCCACGCAGGCCGCTTGGGGGCCGAGAGGGGCTGGCGCCGATCCTCCCCGCGGCCACCTCGCCCGCGCCCCCCACGCCGGCACACGCAGCCGCCGCGTGTACACGGTCGCTTGCCCACCGCCACACGCGACCCCTACACACACGCACGAGTCCGACATGCGGCCCCGCGCTCACTCTCACACTCCCCTCACTCCGACACGGGCACACACACTTGCCATCACCCATGCGCACTCGCGTCCGGCACTCGCCTCCAGCCACGCACCGCGCCCTCGTGCACACGCAGGTGGGGCTGAGGGTGACTCAGGCCATGGGGCCCCTTTCCCGTGCAGAGGGTAGCGCTCCCACATTAGTTTGCTGGCACTTAACTTTCTCCCACCTGGGTACCCTCCCACACACTGGAGTGGTGTCTTGGTCACGAGTGGACAGGATGGCCAGTTTGCCAAGTGCCCTCAGCCGTCTCGGCGGTCCTGGCTGCCCCTGCACCCCCTACGTCCTCCACCATGTTGCTGGGGCCTGCGCGTGTCTCCTGAGTCCTCAGCCTTCTGCCCCAGGGGCATCTGTGATGATATCAGTGATTCACGCGGTAGGCCCGGACCCACCAAGGCGGCACCCAGCCTGGCTGGGCCTGGTGAGATGGGAGCGAAGGGAGGGCCTCTTGGAGGCCCTGGGCCCACTGAGTGGTGAGGCCTTCCCTGGAGTTTGCAAGCCAGTGGTGAGGAGACAGAATGGACTTTGCATTTTTCAGTTCTCAAGAAGGTTTAAAAGATCCCCACCCCAGAGCTGAGACCAGCGTGAGCAGTCAAGGCCAGTCTGCCTTCTTGCATTGCTCCAGTGACTCATGTGAGTGGAGGCAGGAAGTCCAGCATCTCCCCCTGCAGCTTCCCCCATAGAATGTTCCAGAACCCCAAATAGTCCAACCTGGCTGCTGGAGCCATTCTCTGGCTCCATGAGCCCAACAGGTGCTGGTTCTATAGCCACACTTAGCAGGCCACAGTGGCACCCCCACCTGTGCTACAGACACACTCTTTTAGAGCTGACAGGCCAGCCTTGGCCGTCCCTCACAGGGACCTCTGGACTCCAGCAGTCTCCCGGGCCCCCATGGTGAACCCCTCTTGGGAGCCTCGGGTGCCCTTTCCCACCTGTCAGGAGTTGGGATGTTACTGATTGACCTCAGGCTCAGGGTCCCAACCACTTCCCATAGTCCAGGCACCACGGCCTCCCATGTCCCCAGCCCTGCTCAGGCTGCAGTCCTGGCACCCTGGGGCCCACTCCCAACTCCTGCCTTATGCTGTGTGTTACCTGGGATCTGGTTTAACTTTGCCAAAATCAGGAGAGACTCCCCTCCCCAGGCTGGACCATTTTTGGTTGTTTTAAAAGAAGCAGGATGGGGACCGGGCACAGGTGGCTCATGCCTGTAATCTCAGCACTTCAGGATGCCATGGGCAGGCAGGTCACGTGAGGTCAGGAGTTCGAGACCAGCCTGGCCAAACTGACAAAACCCCATCTCTACTAAAAATACAAAAATCAGCCAGGCGTGGTGGAATGTGCCTGTAATCCCTGCTACTTGGGAGGCTGAGGCTTGAGAATCACTTGAACCCAGGAGGCCAAGGTTGCAGTGAGCTGAGATTGCGCCACTACACTCCAGCCTGGGCAACAGAGAAACTCTGTCTTAAAATAAATAAAAAATAAAATAAAATAAAATAAAAAGACAGGATGATGGTGGCTCATACCTGTGGTCCCAGCGCTTTGGGAGGCTGAGGCAGGAGGATCACTTGAGCCCACGAGGTTGAAGCTGCAGTGTGCCGTGATGGCACCCCTGCACTCCAGGCTGGTCACTGGAACAAGACCTTGTCTCAAAATAAACAAATATTTTTTAAAAAAACAAAGAAAGCAGACGGTTCAAAGACCCATGGGAGGGTTTTCTGCGGCTCCTTCCCTGCTCCAGCCCAGTAATAGTAAGCAACATTCAGAATGAAGTTAGGCACAACCAGGCTGAGCCCTCTGCTGGTGAGACTAGCTCCCTCTCCTTCTCTCCCTCCCCTCCTCCTCCTCTTTCATCTCCAAGTCTGAACAGTTCTGAAGATCCTCTGCTGAGGGGAATGGAAGAGGTACAGGACAAAGACGTTTGCCCCAAACAGGGGGCGGGTGTTCTCTCCCCTGCAGTTAGAGTTGCTGGGCAGCAGTGATGAGCAGGAAGGAGAGCTCTCTCCTCACTGTCCGTCAAAGACAGATCTCGGTTCCCTACAATGTCCAACAACAAACGGACACCATCTTTGGACACATTTCTCCCAGGAGTTGATGTAGCATCACGTGTTCTGCTTGCTGCATTTCTGGGAGAAGTGCATGTGACTCACAGACGTGCAGCAGCAGCTCAGAAGGCCAAGGAGGCTTCAGGGCCAGGAAGGGGTTTTCTTAGACCTCTCCCTGAATGTGATCATCTGTGCCACAGGTGACACCTTCCCACACAAAAGCCAGTGGCCCCTGTGGGTCAACTTCGGCTGAAGGGGGCTGGCAAGTTCTCCCACTCAAATGTGCTACCCATGGCCTGCGGCGGGGGGTGGGGAGACATTTGATGCGCAGAGTCAGTTTCACTAATTGTTCCCACAAGTGGCTTCTGAACCTTTGAATGCATTTCATACAGCAGCCAGATTGTTCACAACCTGTGTGTACGCACACACATAACAACAGATCATCTCAAACCTGCAACTATGCAGGTATTTTCTGTTCTGTTTATTTTTTAATACTGACCATGACCCTCTGAACTTGCTTTTGATTCATGACCTGAAGTTTGAAAACACCGTTTTAGACTGAAAGAGCTGCTGAAGATGTCGAATGGGGGTTCAGGGAGCTGGGGTGGTTGTGGTGCCAAAATACCTCGCTCTGTCGTGAGTGCACATGGGGCGGCTGGGCTGGGAGGCCCATCCTGTCCTTGAAGTAGACCCCGGCAGACAGAAAAGGACAGACGGGCAAGCTGCAGGGACCCTCTCTGACCAGGGACGCCTGGAAACAAACGCAGAGGGAACGGGGTGGGGAGGTAGAGCAGGCCTCAGGGTGGGTGTACAGACCCTCACGGGGGATACTCGGGAGGAGAGGGCAGTGCTGACAGGGAAGGTGAGAGGCCGGGGTCCCTGTTCTAGCCATCAAGCTGGCTCACATCTGTAATCCCAGCACTTTGGGAGGCTGAGGTAGGAGGATCGATTGAGGCCAGGAGTTTGAGACCAGTCTGGGCAACAGGGTGAGACCTCATCTCTACAAATATAAATAAGTAATTAGAGGCTAGGCACAATAGTTCACGCCTGTGATCCTAGCGCTTTGGGAGGCCAAGGTGGGCAGATCACTGAGGTCAGCAGTTCAAAACCAGCCTGGCCAACATGGTGAAACCTCATCTCTACTAAAAATACAAAAAATTTGCCAGGCGTGATGGCGTGCACCTATAATCCCAGCTACTTGGAAGGCTGAGGCAAAAGAATCACTTGAACCTGGGAGGCAGAGGTTGCAGTGAGCTGAGATTGTGCCACTGCACTCCAGCTTGGGTGACAAGAGCCAGATTCTGTCTCTAAAATAATACTAACAATAATTAATTAGAAGAAAACCAGTTCTGATTTTCTCTGTGGACCACTCAGGGAGATGAAGATATCCCTTTTTTTTTTTTTTTTTTTTTTTTTTTTGAGACAAGATCTCGCTCTGTCACCCAGGCTGGAGTACAGTGGTGCAATCATAGCTCACTGTAGCCTTGACCTCCCAGGCTCACGCAGTCCTCCCTCCTCAGCCTCCTGAATAGCTGAAAACACAAGTGTGCGTCACCATGCCCAACTAATATTTTTCCTACTATGTTGCCCAGGCTGGTCTGGAATTCCTGCGTTCAAACAATCCTCCTGTCTCAGCCTCTCAAAGTGATAGGATTATAGGCATGAGCCACTGCTCCCAACCATCCTCATTTTAGGGAACTAATTCTGGGATTTATATGCACAGATGTGCACACACGCGCACGCGTGTGCGCACACACACACACCCATCTCTGGCATTTTCCTGAAATCTTTTGGGAGAACATGAATCTTTTTTTTTTTTTTTTTTTTTTTTTTTGAGACGAAGTCTCTCTTTGGCGCCCAGGCTGGAGTGCAATGGCACCATCTCAGCTCACCGCAACCTCAGCCTCCCAGAGAGAAGTTTAATCTTGGATGTGGCTGGCCTCCCACAGGCAGCTTTGCCTGGAGCCCCACGCCCACCTCAACCAATCAACCTTCCTTCCTTCCTTCATTTTTGAGACAAAGTCTCGCTCTATTGTCCAGGCTGGAGTGCAATGGCATAATCTCAGCTCGCTGCAACCTCCGCCTCCCAGCTTCAAGCAATTCTCCTGCCTCGGCCTTCTGAGTAGCTGGAATTATAGGTGCCCACCACCATGCCTGGCTGATTTTCGTATTTTTGAGTAGAGATGGGGTTTCACCATGTTGGTCAGGCTGACTGCAGGTGATCCACTTGTCTCATCCTCCCAAAGTGCCGGGATTACAGGTGTGAGCCGCCGTACCTGGCCCCACCTCCACTTTTAATGTCTTCTGAAAATACATCCAATTCCATCCTGCCCCTAAGAAAAAGTCTCTTCTGCCGAAGGCATCGTGGGCGACAGGGAA